GGCCAAACACTTTTCCATTATTAATTTTATTATTTGCAACTCCGTCTATAAATATTTATATTATATTTTTTTATTCCCACAACTCAATATTTTCTCATATTTTGTCGATAATTATTTAAATAAATATCTAAGTGAATTTAAAATTATTTTTCGGCACCTTTACGAAATCTTGTACGATTTTTGTTTCAATTAACACTTTTTTAGGAAATAGAGAGTTATTGCAAAATATCGATATATTTGACGATTTAATAAAAATTCATCGCATTTTAAAATAAATATAAACAGTAATAAATGGATTATTGAAAATTATAAAATGATTTTTATAAAATTTTACATACTAACATTGTTAATAAAGTACATGTTAATTCATATGGTTTATATCAGAATTCAATTTCAACGAGCTCTCAAGGATACACAGTTAATGCCAAGTTGTTGTAATTTGAGAAAGATATTTTTCAATCTAAATACAATTTTAGAAAAATAAAAATTGATTTTATTTCCTAATAAAATTTGAGTTATTAAACTTTAACTAATGAAACTACACAACATTGCATGAAAATTGATTGATCGATTTTAACGAGCTCTTCAGACCGTACAATTAATACGACAATGTTGTAATTTGAATAAATTTTTATCAATCCATATACTATTTTAGAAAAATATAAAATGAAAAAAAAATCTTGTGCGATTTGATATATTAAAACTTAACCAAAGATGTGTACTTTTTCACTTGGAAATTATTTAAAAGTACTTTAAACAAATTTGTTTTCGAAGAGCTCTTCAGGACGCATTTTGCATCTGACGACGTTGAAATTCGAGTATAATAAAAACAAATATATATATATTATTTTATAAAAATATAAAACAAACAAAATTTCCTGAAAATTTATCCCAAGTATTTATTTCTAGGTGGGTTCGTCTAAAAAACAACTTTCTGACCATAAATGATATAATAACCACATTTATTATTTACACAATTTATTAACAGCACTAATGTACAATGGAAATGTTACATTGAACGATATGTTATTGTTTATTTAAACAATTACCGAAAAGAATAGATTTTGCAACTTAAAAATCGAAATATTTAGCATAAGAATATAATAGAATATTTTTTCGGTAAATTCTAAAGAAAAAATCCATTGAGGAAAAAATTGTTTGGATTGGAAATTTATCTAAATGATTTAAAATTATGCATAAAACTTGTATCAATTTTTATGTACATTTTAGTGTATATTTTTGTATGCTTATTTATTATAAATAAAAATGAAATATACTGTTTATTATACCCTATCACAGCAAATACTATGTAAAAAACTTTGCCTTGAATTAAAGGTCTATTTTCAATTACGATTTTAAAGTATACCGAGTTGTTGTAGGTCACTATAATATTAGATAACATTATAAACAATTCAATTTTAAACAAATTTACCAAATATTTCATTAATTTTAGACAAACCGTTCAAAAGCTACAAAAGATATAATACATAAAAACATATTTAAGTTGACTCTTCACAGTGCACTTTCATACTTAGGATACTGGATATCTAATTTCAAAGCGGATTTTAAAATATACCGAGTTACTGTAGAGTTTTACAATATTAGACAATATTATAGACCATTCAATTTTAAATAAATTTACCAAATATTTTATTTATTTTGAACAAACCGTTCAGAAGTTACAAAAGATATAATAAATATAAGCGCATTTAAATTGACTCTTCACAGTGCATTATCATTCATTTATCTAATTTCAAAGAGAATTTTAAAGTATACAGAGTTGCTATAGAGAAGATGTTTGATATTAGACAATATTATAGAGCATTTAATTTTGCATATATTTACCGAATATTTCATTAATTTTAGATAAACCGTTTAAAAGTTACAAGGGATATAATAAAAAATGCAAATCCAAAGTGCATATTTGAGGATTTTTTCAGGTCGCACCGTTTGTACTACAAAACTGTAGTTTATATATACATATATACATACATATTTATATATAGACAAAAATATAAATTCAAATAACTTACCTTTAAATTCCAAAAGATTCTAATAGATGCCATAACGTGTTATTCATGAATCCAAAGAAAAATCTTTCTTGCAAGATGTATTTGTCCAGGCGCACTTCAGAATCTTTTATTCATACAAATTATATAAAAATATAATAACAACAATAAATAATAAATGTTTAATTCTGCACAGATATTAAAATCAACAAAATGTTTATTATCCAAAAAATTGTAACTTTTTAACATGATGTAACTTCGTTTTTTATTCTAATTATAACACCAAAATAAATTATTTTAGCCACATATACGAAACTAATTAAAATAAATAATACATTAATTAACACTTAATATCCGATATAATTAAAGAACAAAAATTATTCCAGTAACCACAGATTTTTTTAATTTAAAATATTTTTTTAGTTAAATCCTTACACAAATTTTGTGACACTAAACTGGATAAATTTCAGTTTAATATTTCAAACATTTTATATATTAGGTTGTCAAATATCTCCCTTCCGCTTTTTTGCTCTTGGTTTATAATACAAAAAGGCGGAAGGGAGATATTTGACAACCTTATATATACATATTTGTATACTATTATTATTTTATAATAAATATTCGGTATTAAAATTACTTACAATAAATCCGAACGCCTGCGAATTAGAATCTGATAAGAATCCTTGCAATTTATGCATTTATATGCATTTTTGGTTGCATAATTGAAATGATTGTAAAATTTAAAAAATCAGTGATGTATTAGAGTAAAAACATACTTATGTTAATCCAAATTATTTATATTTTATATATAAGTTACAATTTTTATAGATTTTTTAATATTTCCACAAATTTGTCAATTTAATTAATTGTTCAATTAATTTAATAAATTTAATGCACGACTTTATTTTTATTTATATAGATTTAGTTATATTTAGTAACAAAATTTTGCTGTAAATTATAATATATATAATGAAATATTAACCAAAATTTGTTTTCAATACTAATTATTATTTATCATATTATTATTTCATGCATTTTCGTTATATAAATAAAAATTTTGTTCTAAAATTAATTGTTTGCTTCAAAATTTAATACAAAAACTTGAAAATAAAATTACAAATATTATTACAAAAAAGTATTAAATATGCATATATATATATATATATATATATATATATACGTATATATATATATATTATATATATATATATATACTAGCCGGCCCGACAGACTTCGTCCTGTCAAAAAAAATTGTAATGTGGCGGTGTTTTGTGCCTACCTTTTTTCTATTCTTTGCAAAAAATTATCCTGAACAGAACCGTCACCCTGGCAATAATTCGGAGTGAATTAAAAATAATTAAATAAAACACTATAAGCATTTAAAAGTAAGTAATTTTAATAATGTAAATCATAATGAAAAAATCAGTTCAATTTTCATTGTAGGGTTTTTCTAAATTAATACCACAAACAAACATAGGTTATCTAAATTAATACCACAAACTCCTAATGATACCATAAACGCACTGGAAACGCAATGGGATGCATGGTGCGAGAACATCTTCAGCTTTATACTATCCTTTGAATATAGTTGGTCGATTTTTTGCAACATTATAATTGCCGATCCAACCTTTAATTGAAGATTGTGAGGTGACAATCCTAGCAAATCCAGCGAGTTTAGAAACTCCGGTGGATCGTCTTGGTTAGTTGCCGAATCAAATGATTCGTCTGTAATTTGTTCTTGAATTTTGAAATTTAATTAATTTACATCAATGTTTTTGGCTGCCAATATAGCTTGATTAATAGAAAGATATTTCTATGTTTATATAAATATATTCAAAATTAGATTATCAAAAACTACACAAAATGTCATGACATAGATCATTGTTTTTTTTACAAATTGCGTTGCCTACTCGATTAAAGAACAAAAGGGCTGTTTTTAGGATTTTCCCGGCAACTATTCGTTTTTTTCTCGCCGTAACAACCATCCTTGGACTTCAACGAACATTTTAAAAAAAGAATTGGCCAAATTGGTCCAGGCGTTATGAAGTTATGCGCTTACCAACACATTTTGCGATCCATTTTTATATATAAGAAGATATATATATATATATATATATATATATATATATATATTTAAATAAATTATGTTAAAAACATTTTTGATACAAACTTTATTCAAATATGAGTATAATACATTTTTCTGAGTATATAATTTAAAATAACTTACATGTATACTAATATAAGTTTATTTGATATACAAAATATATTTATAAAGATATTTTTCAAAATATTTCTTAGGAACTATAAATAAACATTATTGTTATAAATAACTAAATTAAATATATATATAAATATATGACAATTTATATATTAAATTTTTATTTATAAACACAATATTTTTGGTGGACAAAGTTCTAGATTATTATGTTTTTGTATAAAATAATTTTAATACAAAAATTGGAATAATAAATGAAAGTTGAGTTTTAGTTTTATTTTTATATATAATTTTTTAAAACTCATTCTATTTTTTTCTTGATAATACTATTGTGGAAAATAAATACATAATAAAAATTGGTAATAGAAATATATGTGTAGACAAAATTTAATTTGTTTAAAATAATTTTATTAACAATATAAAAAATTAGTACAAATATTTTAAAATTTAAAGTTAGTGTTAAAAAAATATTTATGAGTACTTATCATATGATGTCATTTTTAAATAATATCCATTGAAAAAATAGGACAAATATTTAATTTTAAATATATAAAAACAAACTTGTATAAATGTTTGATATTATTGAAAAATTAAATAAAAATATGACATTATTACATTGAACAAATGTAAAACGTTGCTTAAAATTAACAAATTCAAAGTATTTTGATTGTCTTAAATTTTTGTATAAAATTATTAAGTTAAATATATATATATATATATATATATTAATATATATATAATTATATATAATAATATAAATAATTTTTTATCTTTTCCTATGATGAAGTAAAATTTCTAAAATCCGAAACATTATTCATAGATCTTATAGAATCGTATTTCATATCAAAAGCACTCAAAATAACGTTTATTACGACTGTTACAATATTTAGGGACAGACAAATATTATTCCCTAAATTGGCCCTGTCCTGTTGCTGCAATTTATTTATGTCCAGGGCCGAACCTAAAATTACACAAGCTATCCCTTGCAGACACTAAAATAAAAATAAAATAAAATAACATAAATAAATAATAAAAAAACATAAAAATACATAAATAAATAAATAAATAAATAAATAAATAAAATTTGAAAATATAATGTTAAAAGTGATGAAAGAAAGCCTGATAATTTTTAAATTAATAAAAAATTAAATATTGGACCCATAAAAATTAATTTCTCAACTTTTTACCAAAATTTCCGTAGGGTAGTCTCGACGTTTTGAAGGTTTCTGAACATTTTGACATACCTAAGAAAAAATGGATGTTTGGGTGTGTGTGTGTGTGTTTTGTATGTTCGCATTTTTTCGTCCACGTTTTCGAGCGCACGGATTAACCGATTTGAATGGTTTAAAAAACATTCGATTCTTATTGATAGGTAGATGTGCTGATTAGTTTTTGGCAAAGGCAGGTCCAGCTGTTACGGAGATATGGAGCAAAGAGTGCAGAAAATACAAATCGAGTTTTTGAGAGGACGGAGTATCGGATTTGAATGATCTAAAAAACATTCAATTTGTAATGATTGGAAAAAGAGGTGATTAGTTTTTGGCAAAGACAGGTCCCGCTGTTTCGGAGATACAGAGCTAAATGTGCAAAAACTGGCAGTTTTTGAGTGAACTAAGCGTCCGATTTGAATGATCTAAAAAACTTTCTGCTTGTATTGACAAAACAATTGCTTTTGAAGATGAAAAATTATTACACCTTTTTTATTTTTCATAAAATATTTTTGTAATTTTGGATTAAAAAATTCAAAAAATGACCCAGGCTAAGCACAGTCTAAGCGCCACTCTGGTACAAATGTTAACCCAAGCGCGTTTAGACTGTTTATATACAGGAGCACATTTCCAATTTTGTGAAAACAATTGAAAAAATGTGAAAATGCCGCCAAGCTAAGCACAGTATACGTGAAAATATCGTACAGAATTATTTGCAAACGCGTTTAGACTGTGACTATACGGGAACACTTTTTCAATTTTGTGTAAATTAGGCAACTATTTTTTTTTTGAAATTGAATTTGAAATGAAATGACGATTATTAATGTAATAATTGATTTATGATTTACATTTGATTTGCTCAGATATAACAATAAGATAACAAAAATAATGAAAGTTACAGTATTTGTAATAATATATTTGAAAACGTTTAACACTTCTCGAATATTTCATTACGGTACGGGAAGTTCCAGCAATTTGCCTTAAGGACGATGCCATACACTAGTTATAATGAAACTTCATACCCTATATTTAAATTTTACATTAATAAAAATCAATAAATTAAAAAACAATTCAAAAAAACTCTAAATAAAATAACATGTGTGCATTCACACATTCAATTTTCAACTATTTTTCCTGAACTGTTTGCAACATTTTTCTTAAAATTTGCAAATCCAAAATTTATTTTACTATAAATTCTTTATTTACACTATTCTGTTCATTATTGGTATAATAAGGCCCAATATTCATTTTAACGACATCACAAACTAAAGTTCCCATAATAAAACCTAAGGCTGTCTGGTTCAAAATCCTGGTGACGTCATCAGCCTGGTCACCAGGACGATGATGACCATAAATCGTTAAAATTGCGTTCAAAATTGCGGCCAAAACCTAACCAAAAAAAATTATAACAATAAATTACAAAAAATTTAACACATTTTTGATCTTATATACAAATCTGTTTTACTATTTCCAAGGATTACTATTACTATTACTATCTATTACAATGGTGTGTCTCCATTTATAATAGTTTGCAAAGGATAATTCGAGTGTTCCATTCCGAATCCTGATATAATAACATTTATTAAAGATATTACAAACACCAAAATCAATATGATGTCGTTCAATATAATTGCGGCCAATTGGTCGCCACTTCTGTTGATGTTCAGGCCACCAATTGCGATAAATAAAATTCCGACAATTATCTGCAGTAAAATCAAAATCAATTTAAGTATTTGTCTGAGGTATATGCAGTGCTGGATTTACAGTAGGGGCAATCGGGGCTACTGCCCAGTGCGGCAAATTTTGGGGGGCGGGGAGAAAAAAATTCTATACAATATAATCAACTATTTTTAACAACATTTTTTATTTCAAGAAATATAAGTAACAAAGCATAACACGATTGCAATGCAAAATTTGGGTTGAAATAACCGATAACTAAAATTTATTATTCTGCCTTGCCTCCCTCTCCGAAAGTAAATTATCAAATTGGTTAATAAGTTATCAATTTTGGCAATTTGTCTAATATAAAAATCCATGAACAAGCTGAAAGTTTAACAAAAATATGTTTTTCAGTTCTCGAGCCCTCTTAAAATGACGAATTTGTGCACTTTCAAGCTTATAGCGTCGAAAAAAAATTTAAACTAGTGACTTATGGCATTGTGCCTTAAGGGGGTATTCTACTGTAAAGACATGAATTTCGCCCGGTTTTTGAAGCGCTGTATAAAGGAAACAAATAATATTTTTACTATAGATTTTTTTATCATTTGTTTATCGATATTTTATTATTACATAAAAAAAATATTATTAAAAAAAATTAAAATTCACAAAGTTATGAGCAGTCAAAGTGGGGGTTCCCAAAAAAAGGGGGTGTCCTGGCGTACATGATTCGAATCCTCCTGGTGATTTGAAACATAAAAAATAGATGGATTCTTAATTATAATAGATGCCGCTATCGTATGAACCTTGGATAAGTTAAACATTTTTTTTTGTTTGAATGGCGGCAGTTTGAAAAAAAAAATTTTTTTCTCATGTTTTTTTAACAATTCCGATTTTTTTAAAAATACTAAATGAAAAGTTATAGTTTTGGGCAAGATCCATACGATAAAGCGATGTATAGAAAAGATTCTCTCCAAATTTGAAGTAAATCGGTTCATTAGAACTCGAGATATCGATATCCTTACCGCCAGCTCGAAAAAAGTAGTTCCGAGAAAAACGCGTTCAAAGTTTTGAGACTCGGTCGGACCCGAACCGAGACCACGTCACTAAAACGGATATAACTCAGGAAATAATAGTAATTTTGAAAAATCCTTTTAATGACATATTTTTGAATAACTAAACTTTGAAAATATGAAAAAAAATTTTTTTTGATTTTTTTAAAATTCTACAGTAGAATACCCCCTTAAGACAATTTACTGAAACATACCGTACTGAAAATTACATTTTATAAAGAGCTTTAAAATTTTTTGAAAAATGAAAATAAAAGACTTTTAAAGCAAATTTTTTGTATTTTGGAATTTTTCGAAAATTGAAAATTGATGAACCTGTTGCAAAGCAGTCGCGCTGCACCTACGCAGATTTCAGAGAAGAAATATCGAAACTCAATTACCATTTTTCGTAATTGCCTGTGCCAAAAGCTAATCAGAACGTCTCCCCATCAATACAAATCTAATATTTTTTAATTTTTCAAGTCGATTTCGATAACACAGATCAACCAATTTAAATGATTCAATTCCTATTGATAAGGTGACGTTATTGGCCAAGGCAGGTCCAACTGTTTTGAAGATACGGGCCAAAATGCCAAAAATGATAATTCAGTTTTTGAGAAAAAAAGCGTCCAATATCATTCAAAAAAATTTACAGAATAAATAACTGCTTAAATTTGTGGGGGGGGGCAGGTTTAGCGGTTACGATGATCCAATAAAAAAATTTGAAAAAAAACATTTGGCGGACAAAAGTGATCATAAGACATATGCACATTAAATTATCAGATATTTTAAAGATATTATAATAATAAGTATACATTTTGTTTACATTTATATGCGTTCTGTAACATTGTTTATCCGTTAGACTGCGACGCGGCGCTTACGCGCTTCTATATTTTGTCTCTACGCAGCTGAAGCAGCGCGATTGCTTTAAAAAAAAGTTCGAAAGTTCGTAAAATTTCAGGGATGGGGCGGCATTTTTGTCAGTGCCCCGGGGCGCCAAATTTCTAAATCCGGCGCTGGGTATATGGTATGTTAGACAAATTTGTTGAGAATTAAATTGTGTATAATATTGTCTAATACTGTAAAACCCTACAGCAACTCGGTATACTTTAAAATTTCATTTGAAAATAGACAATTGGTATGAGCGCGCCTAATAAATAGAGTTATAGTATAGTGCTGGCAGCGCGTTGGTGCATTTATTTATTATATTTCTTGTAAATAATGAAATATTTGTCCTAGTTAAAGAGAATGTTAGACAAATTTGTTAAAAATTAAAAAAAAGATATAATAATGTCTAATAGTATGATGCCCTTTAGCAACTCGGTATACTTTAAAATTGCATTTGAAATTCGTATAAGCAGGCCAAACCTGGGTTACCTGTGTAAAGTAATTTTGTTGACAACGCGTTGGTGCATTTATTTATTATATCTCTTGTAACTGCTAAAATGTTTGTCTGAGGCAAATGAAATAATAAACACATTTATTTAACCCTCCGTCGGTCGGCGTGGTCTGGCCAGACTTTTTTCGACTTCAATTTAAAAAAAAAAATACTTCTAGTAATCCTATCGACTTGAAATTTCTTGACTTTTCCTAAAATTTCATTAGCTGTCGATCAATGAAAAAATCAGGATGAAAAAATGTACAGAATGATAATTATAAGGATATTAACTTTTTTATACTTCGAACGGTCGGAAAGGTCTGTCTAGACCACCTATACATTTTGTATGAAATATACGCTTTTTGATATATGTAAACCAGTATTTTGTCTTTTTTCATGGTATTTTCTATTCAAACTGCGTTGTATATATTCTTTGCTATGTGTTCTAACATGAATGTTAGTATTTTCATGACGAGAATTCCTTGAAAACCTACCAAACTTATTGGTAATCGCAAACACTGAAAATCGGATGAGTAATGCACACATTCATTTCAAAGGCGCCGAAAAAGAATAAATATTGTTTTTCATTGATTTAAAACAGAAAAATTAACAAAAAAGCAACGATTTTTTTACATTTCTTGATTTTTTTATATAATCGTTAATACATAAGACACCAAAAACTCATTTATCCCATATAAATGCATGTAAAATGAATGGTGGTCCAGCCAGACCTTTCCAACCGTTCGAAGGTGAAAAAATATCCGACCGACGGAGGGTTAAAATTAAATTATTTATAATATTGTCTAACATTATAAGACCCTAAATCGATATACTTTAAAATCGACCTTAAACATCAAAATAAATATATATTCCTAAAATCCTCGAACAACTTTTACGTTCGAACTATCGCATAAATATCGATATAATTATATCGATTATCTATTTATCTATTTATCTAACAATTGATAATTGATATATCGAAGGGTCGATGGGTCGAAGGCGCTTATTATTAAATTTAAAGAGGCGACTGCGAAGGCGCAGGCTGTGGTTACGTGATTTATTACTTCGGCCGAACGATGGTACTCCTTCAGGTGCATTTTGCAATCCCTCAGCAGGTTCAAGGTCAACGAAATTACACCGATCACAACCTTAAAGGTTAATAGAAAAGAAATAAAAATAAAAATTTATGTTAACCTCATTTGTCTCTATTAACACACCTTACTCGTTTATTGTCTCTAATGACACTCTCTACAATATTCATCTCTATATGTCACTATTTGTTTCCCACATTATATAATCTACTTTTTGGTTATTATTTATATGTCAACACCATGTATTTGTTAAAATTTAAATATTGTCGCTAAATTTTAAAACTCATTTTAGTATTCAGATTCCAATAAAAAGGGTCTTTCAAATGATACCCCACATGCCATAAATATTACTATCAAAATTTTTTGAAGTAAAACTTCTTTACACCCTCTACTACAAATTCGTAAAACGTGCATGTTTTGTAGACAAACCACACCTGGCAGGTTAATAGAATTGAATTAAATTTATATATTAATACATGGTGTCCCAGAATTCAGCGTCAAAGTTGAAAGGATCGAGAAAAATCAAAAGAAATCTTTACTATGCACTTTGAAAATTATGAGTGTTCATGGATTTGGTGAAATTTTGTTTATATTTTAATTTGTGGTTGATTTTTTTTAATTTAGGTCATCTTTTAATAATAGAATAGAGTTATATTTATATATTGAGATGTCCCAGAGTTCAACGTCAACGGTAAGAGAATAAATAAATCAGAAAAAAATTACATTATGCACTTTGAAAGTGGCTTTGGTAAAATTGTGTTGATATTTTACTTTTGTAGTTATTTTTTATTAATTTTTTAATAGAATATAATTATATTTATATTATGTACATGGTGTCCCAGAACTCAACATCAAATGTGAAAGGGTTGGGAAAAATCTGAAAAAAAATTATACCAAGTACAAATTTTGAGTTTTTAAGTGCAACCTGAAGCTTTGGTAAAATTGTGATTATATTTTGGTTTTTGTGTATAATTTCTATTAATTTTCTTTATTTTTTTATTAATAGAAGAGAATCATATTTATAATAATAAAAGGTTGTGTGAAATTGTGATTATTTTTTGGTTTTTGTGGATAATTTTTATTAATTTTGTTCATTTTCTTAATAATAGAATAAAATTACATTTATATTATATACTGGGTGTCCCAGAACTCAACGTCAAAGATGAAAAGTTTGAATAAATCTGAAAAAAATTTAACTAAGTGAAAAATTTTGAGTTTTTAAGTTTGAGAGTAAAAGTAAATGCTTTAAAATGATTTAGCAAATTTCATATACTAAAAATAAACGATTAATAAATAAATCCAATAAATGTTATATTTTTTGGAAACTTAAATGCGCAGAAATTTTAGTAGTTTTTGAATATATTGATTTTCACAAAATTTAGATTTTTTCAAAGTATCAAATAGTTTTAAGAATTTTTTAAACATATTATATACTTCTTTGAAATTTAGATTATTTTTGACATATTTTTTGACAACATTGATTTTTGTAAAAGTAGATGTTCTTAACATTTATTTGAAGTGGTTTATGAAAAAAACTTGACCTTTGAAAATATTGATTTTTAAGAATTTTTTACTTTTTGGAAAATTAATATTTTGTAGTTCAGATTTGTTTGATAATTTTCTTCTTAGTTAAATTTGTAAATATTTTTATTCATAAAATCACATAAATTTACATAAAAATTTAATACATTTTTAACGAAATAGGGTGCGACTGACCCCATCAGCCCCCTGATTATAAGATTGATAAAATAGTAGACCTTGAACTATTACAAGCACCCTTATTATTATCATTTGGTATTCACATTCAAATCAATAATACTTATGTGACAAATGGTTTCCTAGAACAAAATTACCTTTCAGGAATACCTTCACATATTTATAGAATATTCAAAGCCGAATTTAGTTAAATTGCCTTAAAAATCTGTATGGGAAGTTCTTAAAAAAAATTTGAAAATATTTTCAGAAACAAACGAATAGTCTTGAGCTAATATGGGTTAAAATAAATTTTCTAAATTTTTTTCTCACCTGTAGAATTATGGAAATGGAGATCAAAGTCAACATAAGGGTGTAAAATTCGTGTTTTTCCCCAACTTGTAAAATATATTTGAGTTGACTTGCATTGGCAGTCAGAAGGGCGATGTCCAACATCCCTTGGGCAATCGTTTTTTTGGTGGCATATCGATTTGCGTCCAAAGATTTTAACTGAAAAAAAAACTTATGTAAAAATCCGTAAACCAAAACCTCTTTAAACACTACATAATTTTCTAGTACTATTTTTTATCTTTATTTACCGAAAAAAAATCCGATTGCGAATTATTAGTAGTATTCACCCCACTAGTACTACCGCCTGTATTATAAGTCGATCCTCCGGGTTGTGTATTAATTCTTGTCGAAGAATTATTTTGTAAATTTTGTTTAACCATTTTGAAACACACTTTAGAATGTCTAATTTAATTTAAAATAATAATATTTATATTATTATTATTTGAAAACACAAACAATCGATACTTTAACTTTACTGGGTGAAGATCGCGATTAGAATGGAGACAATGTTATCAATGGACTGATTTTAAAATAACTAAATTGAAAATATCTTATCAAATTGAGACGAATTTATTGTGTATATGTATATATATATATATATATATATATACAAAGTATTTCACAAATTTAAACAATTGTGTGAAACATCAATATTTATAAAACCGTTTCATGGAAAATTTCAATTAGGTTTAAATAAAGTTCTGTCTTAAGTCAGTCGACTTAGTCAGTAATAATTTAGTTTTACAAGCTTTATACATAAATTCAAAAATTTTAAATATATATATATATATATATATATATATATATATATATATATATAAAGAATATGTATAGAAACAGTTTTGTACCATTTCCAAATTTTGATGAATTTTTATAATTAAACCACTTTTCGTAGGACTACAATAATTTAGGATATTCTTTAAAACCATGAACAGTATCATCATACAAAGTTTTATTTAATACAAAAAAACGGCCTAGCTGATCTTTACAAAAAACAATTAGGCACGTAGAATGCCTTTGAAACAGTTGGATCAGGATCTTTAGATAAATATTCTGCATTTTTCCAAACGATTTGACTTTTATTCAACAAAAGGTTACCAAAACCTGTTTTAAATCCTATTTTTCAATATTACATTAAATTATCAATTGTTTCCAAATGAATATCGACAAAAATGAATTCTATGAGTCACAATGTCTGACGAGATCGAAAACAAAACATGAATTTTGTGGATTTATCTGATTGTGATATTATTTATTTTTTTACAGATTTCGACAAGTATTTATATGAATGATTTGGAAACGAGAAAATCTAATTTATTTAAATTTTAACCCAATTATATTAATTTAGTTTATTAAATTTGTCTGAATTTCAATATTTTATACAAACATCCTTGGCACGTTAAACATTGTGTATTTATTTATTAAAGTAAATAAAATATTCAGAAAATGTGTACAATAGAATATTTTATATATTCTATCAAGAAATACTTAAAAATTTCACTCAAATACTTAATTTTTGAAAGGATCGATTTTTCACCGACAAAAGATTACTATTATTAAAAATTCAAAAGTGAAAAGTGATTTTTTTAATTTTAAATATCTTTAAGGATGAAAAATGAATTCAACATTTTTAAACAATTCTTCAAGGTGAATTCTATAAATTATTAAAAAAAGTACATAAAAATATTTTGTGTTCATTTTTATGATTCCTGAAGAAGTATTGGTAGATTTTTTTGGGGAAAGGAGACTTCTAGTTCAGAAACTAAAAATTATAATTAATATTATCTAAATATATATATATATATATATATATATATATGTCTAGTAATTTGATTAAAAAATCAGTTCAGCAAATTTCTAATAATAAACCATCAGGGACGACCTTTAATACGATCGTCTTCATTTCCGATGTGCAGTCATGCAAATATCCTCCTTTTATGGCATCAGGAAAAAAACACATCTAAACATGCATTTTATAGAAGTATCCACAAAACATTTTATAAATATACAATTGACATAAATTTATTAAAAAAAATCAGGCCAGAGGGTAAAAATTTGGGTTTGAATATAAAAAATCAGAGGAAAAAATGTTACAAAAATTTTAAAAAATATATTACTGGTAATTCTGTAAATAGATAACTTACTTTAAAATTTAGGTATGTATTTAAATCGCTATTACAAAAAAAATGGTTCTAAAAGTTCAAAACAATTCTTGTAAAATGACCTTTAAAATATAATTTTTTTACTGGAGTAAATTTAAGCTTCCGTCCGAGAAAAAAACAATTGGATTGCAATTATAATTACATTATATTTACAAATATAAAAATATTAAATGTCTTTAGGGTCATAATATAAATCAGAGTTCAAATTTGATTTACTAATTTTTTTTAGAAAATACAATTAATTTTGGCCCTAAAAAACAAATAAAGCTATGAAATGAATGCATTTAGGGTCGATCTTAAGTTTGACAATTTTTTCCCTAAAGTTTTGGTTCCAAAAGTTGAAAATTGTTAAATGCAGTTTTTTAGAGAATTTTATGCACTTTTTTCAGTATAAAATAAAATTTTTGGTTTATAACAAGTTTTTACGCATTTTGAATAAATAATACGTACAAACATTTATTGTGCAAAGTAATACGTCTTTTAAAGTTTCTCAATTTTTTTCGTAATGTTTTTTTTCTAAAAGTTGAAAATTCGGAAATACAGTTCTTTAGAGAATTCCATGTTCTTTTCATCGGTATAAAATAAAATTTTTGGTTTCTAACAAGTTTTTGCACATTTTAAACAAGTATCCAGAAAATTTAAAAAACTATGAACGGCATGCCAATTTTTGTGAAAACAGCAGAATAAAATAATTTATGATTTTATAAACAATCATTTTGGGTCAAAAAATTTCATTATACTTGAGTCAGAAAAAAAAATCTGATAATCTAGGCAATTTCAAACAGAACAAATATTAATATTAATTATTATATTTGAAAAATTAAATTATCAATAAATGCCAAATTATTTGACAGAAAAATATGAAATAAAATGAATATTATTTATTAATCGAATATTTTTGAAAAAAATGATATTGCAAGAATGTAAATAATTTTTATTAAATTCTTACAAGGATTTTATTAATATCTATCTAAGTTTATAAGATGATTCATTTTTCAATGACTCAAGAAGTATGACCTACTTTTATTATTAAGAAATAGTTATTTAGTTCTTGGTTAATTTCAAGTAAAAGTTATTATTCTTGTAAATCACTAACCATAAAAACAATAAAAAATTCTTTCATACATGTAATTAAATTATAATTGTTAAAATGACATTCACAAATTTTAGAAAAAATCGAATAAAATAAAAAATTATAATGGAAAAATTACCTTACAAAAAATGAAGGTTAAAAAAATTTATTTGTATTACAAAATTTATTTTAAAACTAGTAATATACTAATATAATTTAAATAATATCATTAGATTTATTATTTTATTCATATATTATTTATTTGCGATTTATCTAATTAGACACTATCGTATCTACTTATCGAAATTAAAAAATAAATAAAAATTTAAATTAAATTGTGAGTGTCAATACCTATAAAACAGGCTTTATAGAATTTTTAAAAAATATTTTTAATATTTATTTCAATTTGTTTATATTTTCAATTAATTTTTTTCCAAAGCGTTGTTTGCTTTAAAAGTTTTATCTATGAACAAAGAAGTATCAAATAGAATTGATGTACAGTGTTTGCTCGCGGAAGTAAATTTTGTTTATATATAATATAAAAAATATAATTTATATATATATATATATATATATATTATTTTTTACCCTTTCATCCCTGTTCATGGTAGTCAATTCCGGCGAAATAGCTGCTGCCATATTCTGTTTCAAACGGAAACCCCACATGAATATTGATTATCAACACTTTGGATTTATTATACGAATTTTCATTAGAAACACTAATGTTTTTATCATCGATATCAATTCTGTAGACTTTCTAGAATTTTATAAAAATATTTTTAAGTATTATTTGTACTTGTTTGTATTTTTAATTAATTTTTTTCCAGAGCGTTGTTGTTCGCTCTTTGAAAGTTTTCCTGAGACTGAAAATGCCATGGCGACGGTTTGTGTTTGGATTTCAGGGTAATGGATTTATATATGGTAATGGATGTATATATAAATATAAATATATATATATATATATATATATATATAATGATTCTTAAGACGTCTATTTATATCCTGAAATATTTATTTTTATTATTTTTCAAGTGTATATATTATAAAAAAATAAAAACGTCCAAACGAATCGAGTGCAAATAATAATGCATGAATATTATTTTTTGTACCAAAATTAATTTTATTTTAAAAAAATGTAAATTTATGATAGAACACAATTCAAATAAATGCTGTAAATTATAATATTTATAATAGCTTTATAATTTGCTTTCATAAAATAATTTATACTTTTTTCAGAACAAAATTATATTAATTTTGCCTATAATGTTTTTCTAAATATTTGCAACAGTTTTAGATTGAAATATGACTTTATTTTATTAATTATGTATTTAATTTAAACAATTATTTTTATTTAATTTATTTAATTTATTATTTATGTATTTGTGCTTATTAAAAAATATTATAATTAATTTTAAGACATTTTTTAAATCCTAAAATATTTATTTTGAATTTGTGCTTATTAAAAAATATTATAATTAATTTTGAGACATTTTTTAAATCCTAAAATATTTATTTTGAATTTGTGCTTATTAAAAAATATTATAATTAATTTTGAGACATTTTTTAAATCCTAAAATATTTTGAATTTGTGCTTATTAAAATATTATAATTATTCTTGAGACATTTATTAAATCCTTAAATATTTATTTTGGATATTACAAAAAAAAAACACTTGCAAAAATAATATTTTTATAGAAAAATTTTCTGTACAAAATTACATCTGCTGTATTTTTTTTTCAATGTTATGGCTTTATGAAAAATAAAATATTTATTATTTAAAGTATTTAAGAAATTCAAATTTTAATTATATAATTCGTATAAAATTATGTGATTCAATTAAAATTTTGCTTCATAATATTTTATAAATAATTAAAAATGTTTCATAAAATAGTTGGTTTTTTGTAAATTATTATTTTACTGTAAATTATTACTACTTTGCATATTATTTAATTTTTAATAAGTTTGTTCAATATTTCACTTAAGCTACTCAATTAGTTAAAGATTTAAAAATTGATATAAAATTTTTGTATTTTCAAAATTATTTTTTAGGTATACCGAGTTGCTGTAGGGTCTCATAATATTGAACAATACTATTGATAATTTAATTTTCTATAAATTTGTCGAATATTTCATTAAGATTAAACGAATCGTTTAGTAGTTACAAGACAAAATTTAAACTAGTTGGTTTGGTATTTAGCCTTGAGGCAAGTTACATGAACTTCCCGATATGTGTAAATAATTGACTTAATCAATAAAAAGTGTAAATAATATACTTCATCAATCCTACTTTAATAAAAAAAACGATAATAATTTTAGTAAAGTTTGCCGAATTTTTAAAATTAAACTACTTGTCGTAATGCCGTAATATTACAGTGATTTCTATAAGACCATGATGTATATCGCCAAAAAAAAGTTCCATGAAAATCGGCTTAAATTTTTTTTTGAACAGTTTCATTACAAGAAACGGCTCGTAGATTTTCACCTCTAAATTAATCAGTACATTCCCAACTAATATCTTTTCGAACAGTTTTTGATTTTTTAAAATCGGTTCGGTAGGATGAGCTTAAATGTGGACGAAAAGTTTAACACTTTTTTTTCAAATTACAAAGAACGGCTTGGCAGATCGTCGCACAAAACTGACAAACGATAGTCCTCACCGAAATACATCAAATGGCTTTTAAATTTCTGAAATCGGTTCAGAAAAGATTTCATTTTGACAAATGTCAAAAAAACGAAACCAATTTTTGCAAACTTTGACGATTTTTAAGCTAAACGAGTTATCGTAAGGCCGTAATATTTTAGTATGACCTAGAAAACTATGGTATCTACCGTCAAAAAAAAAATCATAAAAATCGTCGAAATTTTTTTTTTTTAAACGTT